CATATTTTACCCAAAATATGTCAGTTTTCAGGAAGATACAGACATTTGAGCCAACATAAAGGGGGCCTTTGGACCCATCTGTGTAGATATTGTCAGCATGGTTATCCAAGGAGGAAGCAGATGACATCAGATGCACCCTGGGGATAACCATATAACCCTGCTTACAGGGTGATGATCACAGTTAGTAGGGTAATTGCAGTGTGGAAGCATATAAACAGCCGTAGATAGGAGCAGAGACCGTTGTTGAACCTTGATGTTTGTGGTTCTGATGTAGTAGTTTAGAACTTTTTCTTCAATACATAGTGGCAAAGGTAGGAGTTCTGCTAGTATCAGAGAGGCATTTGTAGAAATAGTTCTGCAGCACTTTGAAATTCTGATAGCAAACTGTCTTTGAAGAGAGAGCAATTTACTTGCTATTGAATTTTTACTAGTTACATGACCTCAGCTAGAGGCCGCGTAAAGTAACATTGGTTGTATTGCCCCCATTATATAGAGTTTTACAAGCTTTATGATTTAGTCCCTAGGTGCATCTAGCACATTTTAGCAGCATGTAGTTTATTTTCTTGGCCTTAGCCAAGATATAATCAATATGGTAACTGTATGTGAGCTTAGTATCAAGAATTACTCCCAGGTACTTTTGCCGATCTACCCATTAGATTGAGTCACCATTTAATAAAAGTTTGGGATGTGAAAATTTGTATTTGTTGGTGAAAAGCATGGCTTTGGTCTTATAAGTTCAGAACTGGAGTTTATTAAGATAGGCCCATTTGGAAGCTTACTCAACATTTCTTTTAGCTTACTTTCCAAAAAAGCAGTGTCCTTATGCTGACACACAATGACAAGATTATCGGCATAGGCTTGTATACTTATTACCTTGTCACGTTTGGTTTTCAGAAAGGAGTTTACCACCAGGTTCCATAAGAAAGGAGATAGGACACCACCTTGAGGACAAGATTTAGTTAGGAGTTTTTTTAACAGAGTGATCATGATAAGATAGATTTATTTTCCTATTAGTTAAAAAAGTGGAGACCAACTTGACAAGATAGTTGGGACAATCTAGTTGGGAGAACTCGTTGATAATGCTTAAGTGCCAGCAGTTGTCAAAGGCACCTCTAATATCCAAAAATATAGCTGCGGTATAAACTTTGTTATTCAGGCCGTCTTCTATAATTTCTGTCAAGGCATAGATGGCATTCTCAGCACTTCTGCTTTTTCTAAAGCCATACTGGTTTGGGTCTAGCCAGTGGTGCGTACTGTATTAGCATGCCACTCGAGTCGGCCCAAAATCATTTTTTCAAAAACTTTACCTATTACTGGAAGAAGGCTAATTGGTCTATACTGCTTAGAGGGGTTGGTATTTTCAGTTTTTGGCTTTTTGATAAGGACGACATTGGCAATTTTCCAGTGATCAGGAAAGTAAGAAATTCTTAGGCAGGAGTTGTACAGACTGAGAAGAAATGGCTCCAAAAGGTTGAAACACACCTGTAGCATTTTGGCATAGATCTCATCACCTCCTGGAGCCTTATGAGGTCCCATGGAGAAAATTGCTTTCTTGAGTTCGAAAGTGGAGAAATAATAATCTATTTAAGTTGGAGCTGAACACACACTTAGACAGTTTTTTCTGATAGATTTATGTTCAGAGAATTCATCTGTGGTATTATCTCCAGGAAAAAGTTGTGCAGCCAAGGCCAACAATGGTTGAGCAGTAAAACTGGTAGAACAACAAGACTTTATTCTCCTAGTGTTGATTGCAGATTCTCTTCACCACTTAGAGATTTAACGTTTGCTACTGCTCAACTACTTACTGAGCATGGTAATTTTCGAAGCTACCTGGCGATGTATAACCGGACAGAAACTGCCTTTTGCTTTTGCTCTACAGTAAACCTTGACACTGTCGACCATATGATCTATCATTGTCCAATTTACGATCAAGATAGACTTATTCTGAAATTAGAAATTTTCATGCATGGTTTCAGGTGGCCACGTCAACTGGATAAGCTTGTTCAGAAGACACTGTTTGATGCCTTTTACAATGTTCAAAGAATATGGAAGAAAAGACTATTTATAATTTTTAGTTTCTAGTTTTTTACTTTTTAGTTTTCACTAAAAGCCTAATTTTCTAATTTTATGTTTACTTTGAATAATTTATTTTGTTTATGTATCCTTAGTGTTATACTCCCATAGGAGTGGTGCACTTATTTCTAATTAAAAAAAAAGTATATATAAATATAATTTAAAATTATTATATTGTATATGGCTTTGTATAAATGTTATAAAATATCTATGAAGCATTTCGACAAATTAATATTGGTAAGAAGAATGTAAATAACTTCATTATTAACAGGGAGATATTCTTTAATAAGTTTTAAGTACTGTACATTGAAATACTTAAAATTTGTATAAATAAACTGTATGCTTGTAATTATATTTCAGTATAAATACAGTAGAATAATTAAACTATTAATATAGTATATAATTAACAGAACATTAATAGGTTTCTTTCCCATAAATTAGTCTCAAAAGCACCAACTTGTGAGATTTGATACAATATATGCTACAATGTAATATCATTTCTGATATAGAACTAAACATAATTTAGAATAATTGATATGTTACGTTAAATAACGTTTTATAATATAGTAAATGTTATTTTAGTATGTATAATAATTTCGAGATTTAAGAAAACTTTCGTATTTGGATTATGTAAATTTGGATTTACAAAATTTTAATTTTAGAAATGTGTATTTAAAAAAGTTTTGATTTTACAGAAGAGGCCATTTTACTGTATGAGTGTAGGATTTACTTTTTTAAAAATATTTTTATTACAATATCTGAGGGATTGAGTATCAGCAAATAACATACTGTAAAACCTGATTAAACCGGAATCATACGGTACTGAATATTTTTCCGGTTTGGCAAGTTTACATAGAAAATGACTCCGTTTGAAATTTTTTTCCTTTTAGACAGGTTTACTTTTTATTCGTGTTCCGTTTTTGGCAGATTTTACTATATTGTTAATAATATATTGATTTACAATAATAATTTTATCACTTGCATAGAAATGAAATATTGCATGTAAAAATATTTGAGGTTATTACTCTTTTTATTATTTATTCATTTCATACATTTAGAAAGAAAATTTTCTATAAAAACATAATTATTAAGTTCCTTTCCTATTTAGTTGATACTTTTGCTATTTTATCATTGTTAATTTTCTAAACTTTTGATATTTTAAAATAAATCTTGGACGAAGAACAAAATATTCCCGATATTTTATTGATATAACGGCCAGAACTAAACGTTTATTTCATTATTTAAGGTACTGTATGATTTATAATACCTACAGACTAATCATTCAAAATATATTTCGAAGATATTGTATTTTAAAATTCAGTTTTTGAACATAAAAACGTAGAAATCTTCATCCTGAATTGATTTTACTTCAACTGAAACATTTTACTGAATCATATTTTCTAAGTGTTGAGCAAATAGTAATAGTTATTTCAATGGATTTATTTTATTTTGTCGATATAAATCTCAAATTATTTATTTAAGTAAAATATAAAGAATATTCTACGTAAAAGTATAAGTTCTATATTCTTAATATAGAACTTATCAAATTTTCAATAATTTTTTAAGACCACAAGTAAAATTTATTTTTAAAGTTACATTAAAATTAATTTATAAAGTTTAATGTTATACGAATTTAATAATTAAATAAATAAAAGTGTATAAATATCACAGCTCAATTATCCGTCCACGGAGAAGAATATCGAATTCATTATATAACAGATTTATTGATATATAAAAGAATATCCATAATGGGATACTTAGGTAATATAATACTGCAATTGTCGTTTATTAATACTGTAATCATGCTTATCGGAAGAAATATGATAACTTATATATCATTATACAGATTATATGAATATTAAAGATATAATTCAAGGTTATCTGAGATATACAGGAAGATAAGCATGACACTCGTAACGTTACCTATAGATTTCATTCTTATTTTAATCCTTGAATTATTACATTTATAAAAACAGGTGGAAATTCATCATTTAATATGAAAATAAATGCACTAAAATGCAGTCTGCTTAAGAGAAACTTTTATCTTTGTTTTTAGAGACAATTCGAATTTTTATTCATTATTCATGAGAAAAGTCGTATAGTATTTTGAGCCTGACCGCTCTTGCATAATTGTTACTTAAAATACGTATTATTTTTCAGTGATAAAGTTTAAAAAATATCTTAAAATAAATATTATCTTGCGTAATTCTTTCGATGTTTATTATTCTTTGGAGTATTCTATTATATGAGGCATGCAAAAATGAGAGAAATAAAAGTAAAAAATTGAGATAGAAGTGTTGATTTTCTGGAATTACGTTCAATTGAAAATATGCAAATAATAAAATAATGAAACATTTAGTTGTACGCAAATTCTCTAATAAATCCGAAAAAATTATATTTAAATGTAAGAGCTAGAGCTGATTTTCGTTATAGATAATATTATTATATAAAAATATTTAATACCATAAAATTAAACATAAAATTTATTATATTTAAAACTGATAAGTACTGTATATATTGTTTCATATTAATTACAACAAATAATTTATAAAGTATATTGCTTTTTAATGAATGTATTCATTCTCTTTACTAATTATTATTGTATCACATTTTATGAATTAAATGTATATAGTAAAGTGTAAACAATAAAATTGTTCTGTAGTAGGGAATTTAAAATTTACAAGTAATTCGGTTTAAAGAAAAAGACTGTTTAAATCCCGATAGATTTCTGTCTGACAATAGTAATCCAGATAGAATTCTATAGATATCAAACTCGATCGTGTTCTTCGGTTCGTTCCGTTGACCTTGATCAATGGGATTTGTAAACAGTTCAGTCAGAAAATTTATTGTTTATAAGGGTATAAGTTAAGTAACTAGTTAAACAAAAAACATAAATATCAATAATAAAATTTTATTTTTAATTTCAGTGCAGATTCTCAATACAACAATGCCATTCTCAGCACCAATGTTATCGTACTTTCAGATGGAAATCTAACATGGCTGTCCAGTGCTATTTTTAAGAGTTCCTGCAAAATCAATGTCGCTTGGTTTCCTTTCGACGAACAAAACTGTTCCATGAAGTTTGCTTCCTGGACTTACGACGGTTATCAAGTCAATATGATTATTCAGACTAACAAAGGTGACTTATCGAATTACGTAGAGAACGGAGAATGGGATCTCATTAACATGGCCGTTGTACGAAACGAAGTTTATTATTCCTGTTGTCAAGAACCGTATCCCGACGTCACTTATTTCATTGTGTTAAGACGTCGTCCCCTATTTTACGTCTTTAACTTGATATTACCTTGCATGATTATCACTGGGATTGCTTTGTTAAGCTTCTATATGCCTTCCGATTCGGGAGAGAAAGTTACGTTGGGTATAACTACACTCTTGTCCATGACAGTGTTCCTGATGGTGATCGGAGAGAGTATGCCACCGACATCAGATACAGTGCCACTAATAGGTATTGCATTAGGATTTTTCGAAAATATTTAATTTTATTAACATAAATGAGATATCACATGATATTTTTTTACAACGTTCATTAAAGTAATTTCGAATTTTACGTAATTTTCAGGGCTATATTATGCCGTTGTCATGTCGTTGGTATCGTTAGCCACAGCACTATCCGTTGTGACGTTGAATATTCATCATCGTGGGATGAGAGGGAAAGAAGTTCCTCCTATTGTCAAGAGGATAGTGTTCGGTTGCTTAGCCAAACTGATGTTTATAGAACTGGATTTAGATTTCAATGTCGAATCGAATAGAAGAGTAAGGAGCTTCCATGTTGTGAAAAGAAACTCACATTTGTATACTTTCTTAAGACGTGTTGATATTTTAATTTTTTTAAACAAAATTGTTTTTAGATTTATTTAAAAATCGCACCAATAACTCTTTATTATAATTTTATATTTTAATGTAGAATTATATTTTTTATTAATGGACTGCTTATTTAGAATAAATTAATAATTGAATATTTTAAATATTACATGTAATATTTTAGGTTTAATGATATTATTTAAATTTATTTTTCATAAAAATACATTTAAAGTAGTGTATTAATATTTTTTTAAATCTTATAAATGTTTAAAATTAATAAAACGTTTTATTTCAATATTAATTACGTGACAAATTATCATATAATAATACTTTTCAAAGAATTTAATATAGAATATAAACACAACTACTTTTAAATAAAGTATATAATAAGTGTTGTTTAGTTAAAATAAAAAATAATTTTTAAATTACATTTTTCTTTTTTTTTAGAATCGTCATCCGTTACCAGTGAAGATTCAACCAGAGAGAGATACGTGGGAAAACGGTCGATTATCTCCAAAATTTCGAACTCCTCATTGCATCAGTACAATTCAGTCGTCGAACTTCATCGAAAGCTTCGAAAAACATTTTTTAAAGGTGCTAAACAAAGTCTACCAAACGATCGAAAAGAACGAAGTCCGTTTGGCAGAACAAGAAAGAAGAGACACCATTAAATTAGAATGGCAACAAGTGGCACTAGTCATCGATCGGTTCCTACTTCTTATCTTCGTTATCTCGACACTAGCCACGTCTTTTGGGATTTTATGCATGTCGCCTCACGCTCGACTCTACTGAAGCGAGATTGGTTTATGCTGTGATCTCAAAATATTCGAATGTCAATAGGAATGGTGTTCTCCATTCAGAGCTTTACGCGTAGATTCTGGCCTGAAGAATCTACCCACGGCTAACTCCGCCGTAACGTGCTATATTGCGTATAGTAAAGCAGCCAGTAGCTATTCAGATGAATATTTTCATCTCATCGTAATCAATATGATATGCCAACAACAACATCCAGTTTTCGTCTTTAAAAGTATTTACAGTTTTGTTTTGATATAGACTAGTCACTTCTATATGTTTTCATATAGACTCGTTATAGAACTGGATTACAAAATACATACAACACTAGTAAATGCTCAATTTGTAAATTAGATATTACTTAGAAGAAAAACATAAATTAGTGTCTTAATAAAAAAAAATTAAGAAAAGTTCAGAATATATTTTAAGTTTGAAAGAACTAAGATATATTTTTTTGTGCTAATTAACTTGTTTACACATTAAACATAGAGAAATAAAAAACGTGAAGAGGAAGAAACATATTGCTCTTGTTTAGATTGTTTAACAATTATATATTATCCAGTAATCGATAAATTACTCGTTAGAGTTAGAGTGATAAGTTGTAGCTTTGTTGTTAAAAAAGTCACATGCGTATTGATCCACATATAAAAATATATCCATTAAACAGAATTAATGGCTATTCAACTAGTATTAAAAACGTAAATTTGTGACGAGTACATTGTTATATTAGTATCGATAAATAAAACAAAGTGTTCTAGATTGGTAAAGGATACATTTAAAATTCCTGATGCCAATTAGTGACTTCATCGCTAACGAAAAAAAAAATTGCAATAAACAAATTTTGTGATCAAATGGAAAATGTAATATTACTGTTAAAAATGTATTGTTGAAAATATTCAAAATCTATCTTTGTATCGTGATAGTTTTGCAGAAAATCTGTAATAATGTTGAAAGAAAATAAAGCATAAAGATTAAATTTCAATATTACCTTTCATTCTTTCAGATTTTTGTAAAAGATCCCCTTTCCATTCGTTGTAAACGATGAAATGAATACAGTCGAACCTCGATATAGCGCACTCTAAATAGTGCCACCTTGATCAAGCGCTAATAACTATTTGTGAACGGATCTTTCTCATAAATATTAAATAAAAAACTTTTCGGTGTTTTAATTTACCATATACGATTTTGCATTGCATTATATTGGTATTGATTTTCAAATTCAAACTTTTATAAATTACATTGCTGTATATAGCTCTTATTAAAATAATTTAACGTTATACTCGATTTAGTGTAAATTTCAAAGCGAACAACTGGCGGTGTTGAATCTAAGTTGGGCTGCAATTTGAAATAATTGTAGACCTATAAATTCCCACTATCTGTCTGTTCTTCCTTAATCTCGAGAACGATGTAAGATATATAAAAATCAACACTAGATATGGAATGATTAGGGGCAGAAAGCACTGATTAACTGTAGAAGAACTTCCGGTCTAGAGAGAGTCACGCGAATTCAATTCCAAATTTTCCGCTGAAAGGAGTTACACAGATGACTGGTATGACTCTGTTGTTATCAAGGAAAGTATGACGTACGGGGGCAAGACACTACTAATTTGGGATGGAGAAGATATATTTTAAATTAAATAAATTAAAAATATGATTAAAAATTTCAGCCCGAAATTGTGACAAAACAATGTCACAATAAATAATCACTCGTTTGTTTGTATATTTCCTTCTCAGTTTTATATGAAAGTCTCCAATTTTATTGTTTCACATTTAAGTCTTCAACTTGCAAATCTGTTAATAAAAAGTAATTTAAAAAGAATATTCTTAGAATTTTAGACTAGAAAATCAAAGATGGTGTCTAAATATATATTATAACGCCATATGTTTATCTTTATCTATACCTTTATCTTTACCATTATACTTACGATTTTATAATTAATTAATACAGTGAAACCCATCTAAAAGACCACCCTTCATAGAGACCACTTTTGCTCGAATCATTGGTGGTTGCAGCCTAAGGTTTTACTGTATATAAAATTGTTCAATGCTTAGAATACGAATAAATAAAAAACTATTCAGACCATTCTTTTTCTACCAGTAAAAGCGAATCCATTCTGTAATTTTTAAGAAATGTTTCGATAAAGAATTTTATAAAAACTTTTTCTAAATTTTGTAAAATATTCTAGCTTTATTGGATTGATTCACGATGAAACATGTGAGAATTGTTTTTTAGTTTATAGAATTGTTTAAAATGAAATTTTGAAACAGAGACATTGTTATGGACAGGGTGGGAAAGAAAGTAACTTAATACCCCTGCTACAGAATATAGAATGGATTCAAAGTTAATTCGCTCATGTCAGGAACATTAGACCAAGGGGGAAACAGATTGATGTGTGTTACACGCACGGCAGCCATCTTGACGGCGACCATATTGAATGCAACTACGAAACTAAATGGAAAGGGGATCATGTGACACATCATTTAAGGCCAGAATTTCACAAGGAATTGATGATTGAAAGATTTTATTGACCTACCTCCAACGGTTATAGAGCTATGCACGTCATATGTTGCGCTCAATTTACATTCTTTGGGTACATTCTATATTCTGTAACAGGGTGTTAAGTGACTTTCTTTCCCACCTTGTAAAATGACAAAAGATAAATAGTAAAAACATAAATATTAAAATAAAATTTAAAGAACTGAATACAGTCAAAATACTCTAGCGATATTTAGCAAACAAGAAAAAATATCTTTGTAGAGAGATTTATTGTTATAATGTTTTATAGAACTTTTAAAAGAGTATCGCCTTCCCATTGTCGGACTGTAAATAGGGTTATTTCTACAAAGTTGGACAATGTTAGAAGAGAAAAAATGTCATATTACTAGTCTTCTCTACTATAAGATTTAAGTGATTTTATTGCATATTATTTCTAGAGTGTGTGTTAAACATCAAAATCAGTCTAAACATAAATCTTCCTAAGCAAAAATGAATTAAAACTAAACTAATTCTAAAATATAATTTCTTAAGAAGAATGCTTTATGTAATTATTTTAATAAGTGTAATGTCATCCCTTTACATTTTCTAAGAGAACTTTATTATGTTAATTACTTCTACCTAGTCTAAATAAGAAAATTTTGGCGGCTTTTGGCTGTAATATACAGGTTTATTATAATTCACAATTTCTTGAAAAAACGGATAGATTCAAGGCAGAAAAAAGAGCCCAAAAAAGCTAAACTGCTCTATAAAAAGTTAAACTAAATTCCTTCGTCATTTAGTGTTAAATGTTATCAAGAATTTTATTCAAAAGCTAAATAAAGCAAAAATTGACTATTAATTTTAAGTGCTAAATAAAAAATTTAGGCGATAAATTCGGCAACTCTGTTTCTGTCTGTACTGATTGCCTATTGATTGCAGGTACTGTATTAATTAAGAGAGTAATATACCACATTTTCATTCCAAAAACGAGTGATAAATTTAAAATTAACTACAATTTCATTTACTGCGTTATTATCATTGTAGAAAAAGGAAAATGCTGCGTATTTTATGAGTACAATATCGTTAAATAGCGATTTATCGCAGTAGAGATTGTAGCTCAGTAGGGAAAAGTTTTACGTTAATCTAATATGAATTTCCTAGAGAACTACATTTCTCATCGTTATATCGATAATCGCTGTACCGAGATTTGACTGTAGTTATTTTAAGATTACGTTAATACTAGTTTTTGGTTTTCTCCGATTGACGTCATATGAAATATATTAAAATGAATTTGTTTAGAGATTCTTAGATCATTCTACTTAAAAAACTTTCCAAGAATCCTTATCGGACTTGAATCTAAATCTTTAGCAGCAGTAGAAAGAGACTATTGCATGGCTAAGATGTTTATTAATTAAAGTTGTTATTCGGATGGTCGAATGGCCGAAATAATAAAAGAAGAAGATTTTTAAGAGTCGCCATCTATTGCCTGTAATTACAGATTCAATTACTATCATCAGTTACATGTGCCAGGATTTGATCTCGGGTCCTCGGCAGCTGCAGTCTATTTTTTTTTTTTCTCTCTGAACCAATTCAGTTTCTGAATTGGTTCAGAGCGAGCCCATGAGGCTGCTCTGAACCAATTCAGAACTCATATTTCAGACGTGTAAGCCCGAGGAAGCCACTGCGTATGTAGTCCATTCAGGTTTCTCTCCCTTGGGTTTTGAGATGCAGCGTGCTCTGCCGGTCCAATACCGCTCCGGATGCAGGTCACATGATCGCGGCTCTTCCTCCCAAAGTTATATAAATTGTAGCCTCGCCCACCTACCCTTATGGTGCGATTACGAAAAAAAGAAGAAAAGTAAAACACAAAAACGATTCTCACTTGCAATCTAATGGCCTCTCCTGTCTTGGATCTCGACGACATTTTCGGCAGTTTAAATATCTTACGAATTTACGAACTACTTCCCCACCGAAGATGCCATACAGAAATTTTTCCATCTTGTGAGGCGCGTGCCTCATACTGACGTAACCGGTTTCATGCCGTAGTGTCCTCATTTCGCAGGTAAGTAGTAATTGATTTACTTGTAAACGAATGTCAATTGTGGTTAACTTTCCAAAACATAAAGCATGAGCTAGTATTCATCAATAGCTATTGCAGGCCAAACATACTGAGCTACTTTGTACTACTTTTTCAATGTTCGTCATAATTTTCGGGCACGATGCTCAAGAAACTGGTTCCATCTGAAAGGCTCGGATATGTTGCAGCTGTGAAAAGTTATAACAAAAGAAAAAAATGAGAAGACTGACCGGAGCACCGTCTGGAGAGGCGTTTTCACCGGCAGCCTTGCTTGTACCAACAATACTTTTTCAAAGGGGCTCAGCTCTCCGCCCAAAAATGTATAATATTTGAGTCGATCGCGAAAAGTACTTAGGTTGCATTCACACTGCTGAAGACAATGACAAAGATCTTAAACGATTATAACGGTGTATTTCGTTGTTCTCCAAAGCATTCATTGCTCATCGGTTTTCGGTTCAACGGTATTAGAGCATGAGCAATTTACATAATGTAGCATTATTCCATGGACTTCAGCGCTTTTAGACCAGACTTCCCTGTTTTAAAAGTGGATATGCAGAGTAAAGTGCTAATTCTTTGACGTTTCTGAACATTTTAGAGCAAATGTCTTTCTTCTATATACGAGATTAGCCTTTCTTCCATCCTGTTCAAAGAGAATTGGGGAAGTTCACGTTGATTGGCAAATGCCATTATGATAATGACAAATGTTGAATCTTTGCTAACTTTCGAATGACAAACGACTAAAATGAAAATGTAACGCTATCGACTAATGTGAATGTTTTATAGAAGAAAACGGACGATAAAAAATATTTTGGTTTTTGTCGTCGTTGGCAATATGAACGCAGTATTTAAAGAATCTTCAGTTTTTTAAAATCTATTATGTTCTGTTTCCATATTTGGGTTGTGTCTACTAAGATAAACATATAGAATCTTTTTTGTTTGTATTCCTACTCCTGGGTGAAGCAGGAGCCAGAGCCGAAGCGGTTACCATCACCGCGTACGAATGCGGCATGACCTGGAAATCTGTAGTAGATTGGTACAACTTTTGCTGGAAAGTTGCGGAGGTTTCCGTCACCCACCAGCAGAACATCCAGCTTGGTGCTGAAGGTTTAGACGTCGAGGTGATGTTCGTCCTGTTTCTATCATATAATCACAACATCCTTATTCTATTGTCATCGAAATTTCTAGTCTTTTCTTTTCAGATCACAAAATCTTCACCAGGAAGCGAAAGTACAACCGTGGCCGCTTAAGAGAGGCACCAAAATAACTGTCTGGTGTCTATTGTCCGGAAACGCGCGAGCTGATATACAAGCATGTAAGTAGGGCTATGGAGTCGGAATCGTGGAGTTTTGGTGTTTAGTCGGAGTCAGACTCGTCAAAAATCCTCCGACTCCGACTCTTTTTTACTTTCCCAATTTGTTATGTATATGTTACCGCTAAAGCTCGAAAGTCGTTAATGTGTACATTACCTAGCTAATCTGCAGATTAACTAGCGTGATCCGTTAAAGTTGCTAAAATTGTTCTTTCTCAAATTACCTAGATAATGTGCAGATTATCTAGGTAATCTGCAAATTACCTACTAGGCACTCGGTAAAGTGAAAAAAAGATCTTTGCTGGAACAACAGCAACGTTTCTGTACGCTTAAATTAACATAATGTTCTTTATTTAATTTTCGATATCTAAAGAATCAAGTTAATACAATCAAACAATCAAACAAATTAGTTGATAGAATCAATCATCAACCAATTAAAAAACATACAAAAAATCAAACGGTTTAAAATATTAATACAATTAGGGAAATTATTATATAGATAACCACCTATGGAATTTCGGGACTTTG